GGAATAATTGTCTTGGAGCTATAAGTTGCTCAGACACTCTGTCAAATGCACACCCAGCCCTCAAGTTCCAAGGACACTGCGCACAAAGTACATATGGTTACCAGTTCATACAACAGTCATCTGTACATGATGCCAGAACAAACTAAGGCTGACAACCCAAAGCTTAGATTGGCTTCAAAGTCTTAGAAGGAAGCCTTATAGGAAATAGGTTTTAAGGAATAAGACTTTGGCACAGTGCCTTGCCAAATCAGAATGCATTGTAGTATTTTATCAACTATATTAATCTGATGTTTTGTAAATGCACTGCAGTCTAGATTAAATCATATTAGACAGATAATTCTATGTTACTTCTAACGGGAATGTTGAAAAAGGCATAATTATATAGCACCACTGAGGTGCTTTCCAGATGGAAATGAAAATAAGGTCACACAGACAAAAAGCTCACAGATTAAACTGGACAGAAAGGGAAAAATGAAATAAATGAACTAGCAAAATTGCTAGATACGACAGTTCCATATTCTAAAATAAAAGCTAAGTTTGGTCATTCTTTAATGTTGACCTATCTATATAAATAAAAATGTAACTTTCGTTTGTGGGATTAACAGAATTCAAAAATCACTGGGCGAACTGACACCAAATTTGGACATGATACAACTAACAACCCAATGTATGTCCTTCACTCAAAAAATTGATTTTGTCATTTGGGAGTTGTCGTTGCTGGGATTTATAGTTCACCTACAATCAAAGAGCATTCTGAACCCCACCAAAGATGGAATTGAACCAAACTTGGCACACAGTTCTCCCATGACCAACAGGAAATACTGGAAGGGTTTGGTGGGCAGTGTCCTTTGGTTTTGGAGTTGTAGTTCACCTACATTGAGAGATCACTGTGGACTCAGACAATGATGGATCTGGACCAAACTCTACATGAATACTCAATATGCCCAAATGTGAACACTGGTGGAGTTTGGGGAAAATAGGATCTTGACATTTGAGAGTTGTAGTTGCTGGGATTTATAGTTCACCTACAATCAAAGAGCATTCTGAATCCCACAAACGACAGAATTGGGGCAAATTTCCCACACAGAACCCCCATGACCAACAGAAAATACTTAAGGCCATCTAATCCAACTCCCTTCACCGGGACAAGGAAATGTAATCAAAGCCCTTCTGACAAAGAGCTATCCAGCCATATATTTTCTGTGGTGGCCCCCCGACTTTGGAACACCCTCCCCAAGGACATCAGACAAGCCCCTACGTTGGCAGTCTTTAGGAAGAGCTTGAAGACCTGGCTGTTCCGATGGGCCTTTCCAGAATAGGAAACCCCAGCAATATGTCCCAGAAGCACTTTATCAGAGATTAAGATTGTCTGCACATTGCACTTACCCTAATATCCTACATTTCACCTGTCATACTCAGCACTTTTTAACCTGTACCCATTACATTTGGCCCGGCCCTAGTTTTTTGTGGTATGATGTATTGTTACTGTTATTGCTTGTGTTTTGATTTGCTTTATATTGTTATGTGTGTTGTTATGTTGTTGTTTTATTGAGGCCTTGGCCTTTGTAAGCTGCATCGAGTCCTTCGGGAGATGTTAGCGGGGTACAAATAAAGTTTAATAATAATAATAATAATAATAATAATAATAATAATAATAATAAAAGATATAGATAGATATATATGATTTACACACACAGATATAGTATCATAGATCTGAAAGGGACTCCTAAAGAAGGACAATTATATGTTGAATGTTCCAGAGTAGGCAAACCAGACAATCTCCACATCAACACTGACAAAGAAATACTGTTTACCCAACAAGCATAAAGAAATTACATATATTAGAAATCAACATTTTCTCATTACTTTATTTCCCAGATCACCTGACGGGCCGCAGCAATGCGTGGCAGGGGACGGCTATTCTATATAAATAAAAATGTAATGCTTGTTTGTGGGATTAACATAACTCAAAAATCACTGGGCGAATTGACACCAAATTTGGACACAATACACTTATCAGGCCAACAAATGACCATCACTCATAAAAACACTAAAAAAACACAGCAGAAGAGACTTAAAAAGCCAAAACAACAAAAATTACATTACAACACATGTGCAAAACCACACACATGTATATGCAAACACACATATACACATATACACAAATATACACACACACATATACACCCACAAAACACATATACACAGACTGGGTCACAGCAACACATGGCAGGGGACAGCTAGTTCTTTTTAAATGGGCAAGAGTAGAACTAAAGTTAGTTTAAGAGCGAGCTGAAAATCAGTGTAGCATTACTAGAATATTGGGGGAACTACATCCATGCACCAAATGGTTAAGGTAATGACATAATAGACATAGATGGCTTCTAGATGGTGAACCAATAGAGCAAATCCCTAAGAGTTAAGTTCCTGGCTTGCACACCATCAAAAGAACTCAGCCTGAGTGAGAGTACGTGCAAACCAAGTGCTTAAATTAACAAATCATAACCAACCAGGACCTTTAGACCCACTTCTTAAAGTATATAAGGCTAAGGTTAGCCCCATGCTCTTATATGGAGCTGAAGTTTGGGGCTTAAACAGCACCTGTGAAATTTTCTGGGAGTGGACAAAAAAGGACCCAGCTTCAGCAGTGAGAGCCAAATTGGGAGTACCGTATATATTTGAGTATAAGCCAACCCGAATATAAGCCAAGGCAGCACCTAGCTCCAGCAGAGAAGAGCTCTTTGCCCCACCCCAGCCATTCCACAGATATATAAACCCATTGTCCTAATTCCAACAGACCTCACTACCTCTGAGGATGCTTGCCATAGATGCAGGCGAAACGTCAGGAGAAATGTCTCTAGAACATGGCCCTGTAGCCCGAAAAAACCCACAAGAACCAAGGCAGCAAATTTTACCACAAAAAACTGGGAAAACTTACTGACTTGAGTATAAGCTGAGGGTGGGAAATGCAGCCGCTACTGGTCAATTTCAAAATAAAAACAGATATCAATAAAAATTACATTAATTGAGGCATCAGTAGGTTAAATGTTTTTGAATATTTACATAAAACTGTAATTTAAGATAAGACTGTCCAGCTCTGATTAAATCATTATTCTAATCTTCTTCAATGTAAATGTGCTTACGTATCCTTCCAATAATAAAGAGAGAATAATAATAATAATAATAATAATAATAATAATAATAATAAATGTATTGTTGAAGGCTTTCATGGCTGGACTCACTGGGTTGTTGTAGGTTTTTTCGGGCTATATGGCCATGCTCTAGAGGCACTCTGTCCTGACATTTCGCCTGCATCCATGCCAAGCATCCCCACTACTTCTGAGGATGCTTGCCATAGATGCAGGCAGAACGTCAGGACAGAATGCCTCTAGAACATGGCCATATAGCCCGAAAAAAGCTACAACAACCTAATAATAATGAAATTCAGCATATATACCTCATTTGCTGTGTCATACTGTGTTTTTGTGAATAATAATAATAATAATAATAATAATAATAATAATAATGGAGTAAAATAATGGAAATGTAGCAACAGTAATAACAAAGTAAAATAATCAATGCAATAATAATAAAAGAGTAATTAAATAAAAAACTAATAATAAATAGAGTAAAATACTGTAAATGTAATAATAATAATAAATATATTAAAATAATATATGTAATACAATGATACTCATAACAAAGAAAAATAATAAATAACATTGACTTGAATACAAGCCGAGGGGAACTTTTTCAGCCTAAAAAAGGGCTTATACTTGAGTATATACAGTACATACAATTGATGGCTTATGCAATATTAGGGCATATAACTACTGGGTAAATTTAAACACCATGGCAAATGACAGACTACCAAAACTGTGTCTGTTAGAGCGGACAAAAAATCAACATCAGACATCTTGGCTAGTTCAATTGACAAAACGTATTAGGAGTTGTGAACTACCGGTTCTGTATCCAAATCTCTTAGAAGAACTAGATCCAAAAATGGTTGCACAACGAATACTGGATACAGAAGCTCAGAAAGACATTGCTACCCTCAGTAAAGCCGGCTCACTGAAATGGCTAAGTTGTTTTAAACATGCTTTTCAAACAGTCCAATATCTAAAGACAGAAATGCCTAAACACCTCAGGAGGGTATTTACCAGAACTAGGTTTGAACAGCTGGATACAATGGTTTAACCAAGTTCCATATTATGAACAATTTTGTATCCGTGGAACGTCAGAGGTAGAAGATATTGCACATGTACTGTTTAGTTGTGATTTGTACAAGATTTGTACAAGAAAGAGAGAAACCATTACCTCGGGCCATACATTATTTAAAAAACACATTGGGATCCATATATTAAAACTACATTTTTATTGTCCGGCCAGAATGCTAAAATAACATAGTTGTTGTTGTTCATTCATTCAGTTGCTTCCGACTCTTCGTGACCTCATGGACCAGCCCACGCTAGAGCTCCTTCCCTCCAATGAGCAGTCGGGCATCAATCCACATAGCTTTAAGCATTTTTGGGGGGATTGCAATCTTGTGTAAGGTACAGTGATGATTTAACCAGCTCTGGTCTGCTTTAGAAATAAATAGACTAATTTCCTGGATGGACAGACAAAACGTTTATCAGACTATAGAGACTGGGAAACACTCATATGGGAGAGTAATGGTTTATAGTGGGATCATAATGGGAATTGTGCCTTTGTTGTGAGCTGCCCTGAGTGCCCTTTGGGGTGAGAAGGGTGAGATATAAATGCAGCAAATAAATAAATAAATCAGGATGTGAGCTCAGAATCCAGTCCTTTGCCATTTGTGTTTTTGATCATTGTTATACGATACAATCCATTTTATGTCCAATGCTTGTATTGGGTTGTTGTAAGTTTTGCGGGCTATATGGCCATGTTCTAGAAGCATTCTCTCCTGACATTTCGCCTGCATCTATGGCAAACCTTCTCAGAGGCTGTAATGTTTGTATTTCTTTTCTTCCACTCAGAGTGAGGCAGGAGAAGACAGATACTGTTCGTTGTATTAAGTCTTGCCGGCCGAACGATGTCAACTGTGTGTTAGATCCAGTTCACACCATTTCTCACACCGTCATCTCACTGCCCACGTTCCGAGAATTCACAAGGCCTGAAGGTAAACAGTTTTTTTCTTAATCTGTATGAATGTCACATGTAAAAATCCTAATTGAAAGCACATCTACATGGGCAGGACATTCTGGGGCCGGTATGGAGTGCACCACTACACTAGCCTGTGTCATTCTTACCCGTCCCTGTTTACACTGTCCATGCAGATATACCCTAAGGATCAAATGACCGGCTGCTTCAGAAGAATTGTTCCATAGTGCTAAAATGGAGTGCATCCCTCACATACACAGAAAGCAGCATATGGTAACACTTTCAAGTCATAGTTCCATTATTCCAGTTGCAATATTAAATCACTTGGGAATATTTTTCTTTTAAAAAGTTTGTAAAGATTGGACTAGGGCTGTGGTTCTCAATCTGGGGTCCCCAGATGTTTTTTGCCTACAACTCCCAGAAATCCCAGTCAGTATACCAGCTGTTAGGACTTCTGGGAGTTGAAGGCCAAAAACATCTGGGGACCCCAGGTTGAGAACCACTGGAGGGGTTGTTGTGCAGAGTATTTTTAGCCAGGTCCATGAAAAAGACACAGGCAAGAGGAAAAAGGAACAGAAAAACTTTACTCTTATGCATAAACTTGCAGTGTTGCATACAAAATCAAACAGTGCAACAAACTTACATAGTCCTTGTAAGTAACACAGAATAAGGCTTCTGCATCTTCATTCAAATGAGAGAACAAAACATAAACCTTGAGTAAATAGCTATTCCACCATAGCAAAGAGCATTGCTGTTAAAGCAAAGCAGCATTACAGCATATTGCTTCTCTTCAGAGTAGTATATTGCTTCTCCAAACTGTATTTTAAAATCCATACAGTTATACCCCACTGGGTGTGGCCCAAACATGCTAGCTGACCTACATTACCAGCTGCACATACTAATTAGCATCATAAGGTTTTACTTTAACACACACTTGATCTGGCTACGACTTACTGTAACAGGCAGGCCTGTAGCCAGGATTTTGATTCGGGGGGGGGGGGGGCTGAGTCTGAGTGAAAGAGGGTCTACCCTAGCAAACCTTTTGCATCATTACCCCCATGCATATGAGATATATTGAGCATGGTGATCAGATCATGATATGAATAAACATAAGTTTAAATAATGTACGAGTAAGGCCTTTTCGCGGACCACCCTGAGAATTTGGGGGGGGGGGGCTGAAGCCCCCAAGCCCCCTCACCTCCGGCTACATGCCTGGTAACAGGGGTGCTGTGTTGTTTTAGCTGAACCATTTTTCAGAGTGTTTAAAAACTGTACTTGAATTAAAAATTAATATAGCAACTAGTGTAATTCTATTTGAATGTTTACTTTTTGTGTGTTTAAATTGTATTGTTTTTAAAATCTGTGATCTAATCCTGGGGAAAAGTGGTATGATGATGATTAATTTCCCTGGAGAAATATTTCCTAAACCCCTTCTACACTGCCATATAAAATCCAGATTATCTGCTCTGAACTGGATCATATGACAGCGTAAACTTGGATAATCCAGCTCAAAGCAGATAGTGTGGATTATCTGTTTTGATAACCTGGATTATATGGCAGTGTAGAAGGGGCCCTAGATGCCTGATATAAAATAACATAACTTGAAATGTTTGTTGATTTGATATTGCTCCATCTTTTCCTCCCAGATTTCTAATTCCTGAAGCAAACTGAACCAAACTGGTTTCAATGTATGATTTTTTTCCCCCAATGCCACATTTAGCATATTTACACTATCTTTTCCTTCAGAGATTATTTTCCTCCGTGCCATCACGCCAGCTTATCCAGCCAATCAGGCAGACATCATATTTGATATAACAGAAGGAAATTTACGCGATTCCTTTGATATCATCAAGCGCTATATGGAAGGCATGACTGTTGGTAAGAAAGTACTTTTTTTCCAACTACAGAATTCAAAGAAATGTACAAGTTTGACATGATAGTCTGTCATTTATTTACACATGCACAATGATTTCTTGGTTTCCAGAAATTTGTTTGCAAGATCCCCTGTAGACACAGTAGTAGTATAGGCTTCGTTTACCACTTCTTATACTACACGACTGTAGTATAGGCTTCTTTTAAGGATACAGATGGCTCTATTACTGTAAAATGAAAACCCAGTAGAACAAACCAAATATTAATTTGGATCCACAGAGTGCCATTTCCACCACCATAATGAATAAGTAGTTAACTTTCTCTCCCTGTAGGTTTACAGCCCCTACTCCAGATTGGTGCCATATGATAACTAGACTTTTCAAAACCTCAATTACCATCTGTATAAATAAAAATGTAATGTTAGTTTGTGGGATTAAAATCCAGTTCAAAGCAGATTATGTGGACAATCTGGATTACATGGCAATGTAGAAAGGGACTTACATTGCCAGTGAGTGCCTTGAGGATGGGAGAGAAATAGGAGAAAGATAGAAAAAGACCATTTACTCTAGCTGCACCAATATTTGACTCTGCTCTAGCCCCCACTGACACATGGGATGTGCTGGACGTCTGATATATATGCTTGTATTAGAAAAAAAAGGAATTGCATTGTTACATATATTACATGAAATGTGGTAAATTTCGTTAAGATTTATTATCAGTAAATGTTTGATTTGCATATCCATTTTACATATCTATATACCTGGGATCATGGAAAAAATTCTCAAGTGGAAAGGGGCCGTGAATGGAAAAAGCTTAAGAAGCCCTACATTGTTCCATAATGTTGGCATGGGTCAATTATTATTTTGGTTTCTACACATCATGACGTGGTCTTCAACTTTCAACTTTTAATACTTTTGGTTTAGAAAGTTTAAAATACTATGGAGATCTGCGATAATGGGTATTCCCATGATCTGAACACTTACTTACTTACTTAGGCAATCCCTCATTGGCCGATTAGGATAGTCTTCCAGGATCAGTATTCTCGTGGGTCTGTAGGTGACTGTGGAGCCCTATTCTTGATCTGCATGTTCTCCCGCAGTGAGGGCATTGGTTTCCAGGTGGAAAGCAATCTCAGTTGGGGTTGGCTTGATGCGCCTTCGTCTTGGCAAGTTTCTCTCTTTCACCCTCCATTTGTGCCTCTTCAAATTCTGCAGCACTGCTGGTCACAGCTGACCTCCAGCTGGAGTGCTCAAGGGCCAGGGCTTCCCAGTTCTCAGTGTCTATGCCAGAGTTTTTAAGGTTGGCTTTGAGCCCATCTTTAAATCTCTTTTCCTGCCCACCAACATTCCGTTTTCCGTTCTTGAGTTCGGAGTAGAGCAACTGCTTTGGGAGATGGTGGTCGGGCATCCAGACAACGTGGCCGGTCCAGCGGAGTTGGTGGTGGAGGACCATCGCTTCCATTCTTCTTCCAGCACGCTGACATTTGTCCGCTTGTCTTCCCAAGAGATTTGCAGGATTTTCCGGAGGCAGCGCTGATGGAATTGTTCCAGGAGTTGCATGTGACGTCTGTAGACAGTCCATGTCTCACAGGCATATAGCAGGGTTGGGGGTCAGCATCATATAAGAGCAATAGAGATCACAAAAGAGAAATGCCCATTGCAGATTATCTATTTGGGAGAATATTTAGGTCCCATCTCCAAGATATCTATTATGTACATATATGCAAATACAGGTGTTCCAAAATCCAAAACAAAAATCCAGAATCCCAAATATTTCAGATTAGGGAGATTCAACCTGTATGAAGTGGGAGAAACAGCTCTCATGTGTATGAAAAGGACCAGTTTGCCTGAAGGTGGTGCTGTTGTTTTACTGTATTGTTGTACGATCCCAGATCAAATCAAAACACTATCATAATTTATCCTGCAAAAAAATGAAAGCCTGGCTGCCAAGAAGGAACTTGTTAATACAGGCTTGTAAGCTTTCAAGTTCTAGATAGAGATGTTTGGAGAAAGTAAGTACAGTAAGTTAAGTAAGCTGAGGATGAGCTTGCGTGCATACTGAAAATTATATAAAAATGATGGACATGGAGGTTAATTTGTTCAGCTATTTCTCAACTACGTTTCTCTACTGCTATGTTTTGGTTGGCATCAGTTGGAGACTTGATAAACTTAGGGACACCTTGGAAATGAAATATGATGTACACATGATCTGTGCATTGTGTCATCTGGGAGAGTCTCTATCAGGAAATGTTGGGTCCCTCAGGAAAGGTGGTGAAGACAGATTCTCCCCAAGTACAAGATACATATAACTAGGATACTATTGAGGTGAAAATGAAACCCACCCTCTGCTCCCAATCTTTTGGCACTCTTCTGGGTGAGTGCTCTATCTTCTGTTCTATTGTGGATCATTTGTTGCTATCATGTGCCTTTAGATCAAATTTGATGGCTTTCTCGTTGTAGGGTTTCCTGGGCAAGATTAATTGAGATGAGGTCCTGAGAGAGGGTTTCCATGTCTGAGCAGGGATTTGAACCCTGGTTTCTGGCAAAGGCACTTCTCAGTCTTCCTTCCATAAAAAAATAACGCCTATGAAAAGTTATTGGGATTGCTGTAAGTTGGCAGGCAACTTGAAGGCACATACACATATGTGCATGCAGACACACAAACACATGTGGAGTCCTAGTCTAATACTCAAATCATTATATCACCCTGAGTATGAAAAAAATATTTTTGTATATTATTACTTGTCAAAAGTACAGATATACAACCCCGATCCCCCCCCCCCGGGGGGGGGCAGTTACAGATTCCTATAGCACCACCAGAAGTTCTACCAAAAGTTGGCCATGGAGTTGCACGGGAGACCCAAGATCAGTGGTTCTCAACCTGGGGGTCCCCAGATGTTTTTGGCCTTCAACTCCCAGAAATCCTAACAGCTGGTAAACTGGCTGGGTTTTCTGGGTGTTGTAGGCCAAAAACATCTGGGGACCCCAGGTTGAGAACCACTGCCCTAGACTTTCCTAAAATAACATTTTAATCCAATCTATGAATAACACTATGTAACAAAATTTGAAAAAAAAAACTGTTCCTGGTTTGAAAGTGTAATTTCCCATTTAATTGGGCAGTACTAACTTTGAAAGTAGTTGTTACACTCCAGAAACTTAATTTTTGTGCCATTTTTACCTTTTGTGCAGACCACGTTTTTGCGCTTGAATAAACTTTTCCCATATTTTTAGGATAGAACCAATGAGGAAATGACATTTGTAACCCGGGAACAAAATTTGTGTTACATAGTGTAACTGAATCCACCAAAATCGAACCTATAAATGTAGAGGGATGATAGTAATTACAATTCTTGCATTGCAAAATAACAGAAAGAAAGAGGCAACTTTGTTCAAACTTATTGGAGATGACATGGCGTGTAGTTGACTGGATTAAGGTTTCTTGGCCAAAACTTGAGTCCTAAAGACAGCTGTCAGCTTGGCACTCAAACACACAATTATGTTCCTGCTTGGAAATAAAGACAATTTTTTTAACTAAAGGGGCTGCTTCTAGATCCAGTTGAAATGCAGGGGTTATTCATTTTCTCCTGCTTCGGGAGTTAAGCTGAAGATATTTTAATCTAGCCTAGTTGCTCCTAGACAGAAGATGGTTGTATAGCAGAATGGAGAGTGAGCCTTGGTATCACAAACACTGGAAACGGGAGAGAATGCTAATACATAGACTCTTTGCAAGTTGCAGCAGGATATCAAGCTTTCCAAAGTATAGCAAGCTGCTAGGTGAACTGGGGATTTACGCTAGGGGTGTGAAATTTGGTAAAACCCATCTTGGTGGCTCCCCAATCTGTTTTTCAGAAGCCTCCCAAATTTGGGTGGGCAAAATTCTGTTTTTCGATCTGGCAACCAAAAGATCTGATTTCACTCCAGGATAATCTAGCCCATTGATGGCAATGGGAGATCTTCCAAGGTTCCCCTTTCTGTCATTTTTAGAGCATCAGTCTTAAGAAACCACCTTTTCTAGGGGTCATTTCACCTGTTCTGTCACGCGCTGGGCCTGTAACAGCTGTCTTTTCTATAGGACGTATACTTTAAGCCCAACGGGAAGCCAGGGTGCCTCAAAGAGAGGTTCTCAGGGATTTTTCTGAAGTGATGGTCTTTAGAGTCTTTAATGATACAACAAAGTCTTTATTATGGAACAAACAACAAATCTTCAAAGGTTCAAACAACACTTCAAGGCTTTCTTAGTCTAGTCCTCAATGGACTGGCACCTGACTTTGATTAACTAAACTTTCTCTGTAAGAAAAACCCTTTTTAACCTCTCCCAGGCTGCTTTCTATCTATGCCCCAAATGGCTCCTTTCCCTCCCAGAGTCCTGAACAAGGGGCGGAACCAAAGCTTAATTATGATGGACAGGAGGTCTGTCCTATGACTGTAAAACAGATAACAGAAAGAAAATAAAGTTGGAGCTCCTGGTACAGCCATACCAGCACATCACCAATATCAACTAGACCTGGGTTAAGACTTTTCTGGAGTCCTTTCCTCTAATATTTATTTATTTATTTATTGACTACACTTATATACCGCCCCCTCTCAGCCCGAAGGCAACTCAGGGTGGTTCACAATTGGCAACAATTTGATGCCTCCACAACTATAAAGTGCAAATTAAAAACAATTAAAACATTAACATATAGTATAAAAACAGACTAAGCTATAAACACCATCTTCAACGTCTCCTTACTGAAATCATGATCCAAGTGCATCATCAATCGTTCTGAATGTATCTTTAGCTAATTACGTTGCATTGTCTCAAAGAGCCACATTTTAACCTTCTTACGGAATGTCATTAGGGAGGGGGCCAATCTTATATCTGTGGGAAGGGCGTTCCACAGCCGAGGGGCCACCGCTGAGAAGGCCCTGTTTCTCGTCCCTGCCAACCGCATCTGTGAAGGGGGCAAGAGCGAGAGCAGGGCCTCCCCAGACAATCTTAAAGTCCTAGATGGTTCATAAGGAGAG